CCCCTCCCCACGTGCTTCTTTCGCTCTCGACAGGGACGCCAAGAAGAAGCTGCGCCTGGCGCTCTGCTCCGCCGACTCCGTAGCCCTCCCGGTGTTGTCCCATTCCACGCGGAACGGCCTCCCCGACCACACGGACCCTGAAGGTGAGAGGCCTGGAGGGGCCCTCTCCCCACAGGGAGCCCCCTCCCTCCCCCCCCCTGCCAAAGTTTTCATCTGCCTACCCCTCCTCCTTTCCATTTGGGGTGCCCTCCCCAAGATGCTTCTTGGATGCCTCATCTTTCCCCAATTCATTCCTTCTCCTTCCCTTCCTTTCCTTTCCCTTTATTTTTCTTTTTCCTTCTCCATTCCTTTCTTTCTTTCTTTTTCCTTCCCTTCCCTTCCCTCCTTCCCTTCTCTTCCCTTCCCTTCATCTCCCCTTTCCTTTCCTTTCCTCCCTTTCCTCTCTTCTTCCTCCTCCTCCTCCTCCACCTCCCCCCTTCTCTTCTCACCTCCTCCCCTCTCTTTTCTTCCTTCTTCCCTCCTCCCTTCCTTCCTTCCTTCCAGACAACGAAATCGTCTGCTTCCTCAAAATCCAGCTGGCTGAAGCCATCAACCTCCAGGACAAGAACCTGATGGCCCAGCTCCAAGAGACCATGCGTTGCGTCGGCCGGTTCGACAACCGGACTTGCCGGAAACTGCTGGCCTCCATCGCCGAGGATTACAGGTTGAAAAAGCCCCTCCGGAAGGGATTTGGGCCAGGGGCCCATCGGTCAACCTGCCCCTCAGACCAGAGTTGACCGATCCCTGAAAGTCCAGGGTGGGACTGTCTGCTCAAGGGGGGGCCCTTGTCTGTTGTAGGAAACGGGCCCCTTACTTCACCTACCTGACCCGCTGTCGCCAGGGCCTCCAGACCACCCAAGCCCACCTGGAACGGCTGCTGCAGCGAGTGCTGAGGGACAAGGAGGTGGCCAATCACTATTTCACCAACGTCTGCGTCCGTCTGTTGCTGGAGAGCAAAGAGTCCAAGATCAGGGAATTCATTCAGGGTGAGGTGCAGTGGTGGGATTCAAGGGTTGTTGTTTTTTTTAACTACTGTTTCTGTGGGTGTGGCTTGGTGGGAGGGGCGTGGCTTGGTGGGCGTGGCAGGGGAAGGATATACTGCAAAATCCCCATTCCCTCCCCCGCGACCCCACTAACCTGCTTCCCAGCCCAGTTCTCCAGCTATTATGTCTTAACTACATACGCTCTACAAAGTCCCCCCCCCCCCCCAATTTCCCAGGCACAGGAATGTAGTGGCGTGGAAGCTTCTGGCGCTAATGTGGCTTCCAAACGTGGCTCTCTCCCCCACGGAGTTGGCTCGTCACAGAAGGCCACAAAAGAGGATGCTGTGACCCCACGGGATACGAGGTCGCTCAAATGAGGACCCAGATTGTTGGGGGGGCAAGAGGCCGACTCTCTAGACCCCTTAGGGAGGGCTGTCAAAGCCCCGCGAAGCAGCGTATAAGTCCAACTCCCAGAATTCCTCAGCTAGCAGGCTTTGAGATGGGTGGGCTTCAATTCCCAGAATTGCCCAGCCAGCGTAGGTGGGAGTTGAAGTCCACAAGTCTTGGGGTTGCCATGTTTGGCTTGCTGAGGAATTCTGGGAGTTGAAATCCACAAGTCTTAAAAGTGGCCACGTTTGGGGAGACCTGGTCTAAGGGGCTGCTGCTAGCGCTAACCCTCCTCGGCTTCCTTGGCCACAGATTTCCAGAAGCTGACCGCGGCGGACGACAAAACGGCCCAGGTGGAAGACTTCCTGCAGTTCCTCTATGGGGCGATGGCCCAGGACGTCATCTGGCAGAACGCCAGCGAGGAGCAGATGCAGGACGCCCAGCTGGTGATCGAGCGCAGCGTCATGAACCGCATCTTCAAGCTGGCCTTCTACCCCAACCAGGACGGGGACATCCTGCGGGATCAGTGAGTCTCCTTGTGGCCCTGGGGGGGGAGGTTCTCCGTCCAGGCAGAGGGGGAAAAGGCCTTTCTGGGGGACCC